AGAGAAGTTATGTGCCTTGATCACAACATGGGCTCATAATAACCAAACCCGGAAGCTGCTTTATCAGATATGGGACTCAATGACCCTCTTCCTTTAACATCACATTTTCTACATTTAAGAAATAAAATTTCCTGTTCATGTTTCATGCAGATCATGGTTTATACCAGTTATTGGGCTTGATTGCTGAAAATAGATTGCAAAACTCTTCTACCTAAGGGTTAATTCATTTGGTTTATAGCTTAAACAATGTGATGGTTACCTTCTTGCCCTCCTGCTTCTCTACCAGCCAGACGCCCTGCTGCTATGCTTTGCTGCTCCCTCTGAACTCTCATCATCCTCCCACTTGTGGACCTCCTAATTATGCTCCAAAACACTGATTTGGGCATGTTGGAAGATATTGCGTGATACGCTGATCCTTCCTTGGTTATGCTTCTTTCCATATTTACCATTCTAATGTTAACGCTTGAACAGCCTTGTTTGCAAACTCCATCCAAATTTTTTGTGATCTTATTCCTTGATAGATCTACACAGATAGAATGATCGAGCATGACAACTTGAATGTAATCATCAAATAAAATGTTCAAAGGGTATGAGGCATAAGAATTCTGTATACTGTCTTGATAGAGCAATCAAAACTGAACCTTCATATTCTTAAAGTGATAGAAAAGAGGAAGCATTATTTGAAATTATAAAAGATTTAAATATGTGCTAAGTAAAAGCACTAACAAAAATTTAGACAGTACTTAGTGTCATGGTCATCCTTACAACTCAAAGAACATTTTAAAAAGTGAAATCTAACTTCATTACTGATGAGACATACACTATTGGGCAAAACATTTGTTACTTCTGGCCTATAATTCAGTACTCCTACTCTTCTTCATGTTTCTTATACTTAAAATATGAAAATAGTCTTAAAATTATGCTATTTGCATATCATTAAGCTTTTAATTATTGGTTAATTGAAAAGCCAACTATGAAGAGAAAATAGAATTATGCAGCACAGAATGAGCTCCAGTGAAGAAGCTTCTATGCTGAGATTAACGGGTCTTGACAGTGATTCCCAAAGGCCACATTACATTGAAGTATCTTCATGCATCTGATCTGAACTGCGTTGGCTGAGGGTCTCTTTTAAAACTGGGGCCAAAGTATGTAGTCATGGTTCTCTCTCAGGAACACTGGTAAGTTAATATCTACATTCCAATATGATTCACATGTAAACATCACAAATTATTTATGAAAACACATGGTGTCCTGACACTTGTGCTAGTTGTATTTACATCGAACACTTCTGAAACGAAATTCGTTACACTAACAATGCTACTAAGTACATACAAACAAAAGAGTTTTACAGTAATACATGTAAAAATATTTAGTGTTCTCTTAAATATAAGGCTAAAACACAGTTTAGAAATGAAAAATTACATGTTATTTTGACAAACATAGAATCTGAAAGAAAATATTCAAATTCTTACACAAATTATCATGTTAAAAATAGAGTGAACACTCTATAGTGGCACAGAAGCAGTAAATAACAAAAGCTTAACATTTTTGTTAAAACCTAAGCACATGTCATGAAGCACAGAAGGATGGCATAACACTATTTGGAATTCTTAAGTTTTCTATCAGCCTAGATTGTGCTTAAATTTTGAAATTATACCCCAAAAGTCAGAAGCCAATACATTTAAAATTACAAATTTTGAAAGGAGAGTAAATATAAAGAACATTTTAAATTACACAAGTAACAGAATCAAGTACTAAACTATAGTATGCTCACAAAAAGAGCAAAGAATACATGTGTTTGAAAAGAATAAGCATAAAACTGAAATGGAGTTATGGACACTTAGAAGTTGGAGCAAGTTTCTATTTGTAGTGGAGCCACAGCACCACCTGCTGGCCATATCTATTTGACACAAAATAAGTAATTACTGATAGAATTTTATCATTTACTGACTTCTGATACAACCTAAAACAAAACATTCTACAAATACAATTAAAAATCATTGTTTTACTCATGCTCATTACTGAAAGAATCTATAGACTTATATATGCTTCCCCGAGAAACAAAATGTCTGCAACCAGAAAATTTATTTATTAAATTCAGATTCCTAGTAAAAGATACATGAGTAACAAAAGTTACTTTCAACTAAGTGTACATTTTAAACTATCCTGCATAGTATGTATGTTATGCAGACCATATTCCTCAATTAATAAGAGTTCAGGGACTGGAGAGATGGCTCAGCGATTAAAAGCACTGGTGGTGCACTGGCAGAGGACCCAGGTTCAATTCCCAGCACCCACATGATGACTAACAACTATATGTACCTCCACTTTCAGGGTATTTTGACACCTTCTTCTCATCTCTGCAAGTGTTGCACGACAGAGGTGCATTTACATACATGCAAGCAATACACTCATACAAATAGCATTTAAAAATAATAATAAAACATTTAAAAAAAATAAGAGTTCAAGTCTGTAAGTGTGAACACACAGGAAAGCCACAAGAAACATCACAAAATGTGTAGGAACCACTCATTGTTTGTAAGCCATTTGATTCAAATATCTCTTTGTTTTGGTTCGACTCATGAAAGAATACCCCAGATATAAAGAAAGCTAACCAGCTCCATGGTTCTTTTACAGCACATTTTGATTGCAATAAAGATGGTTTCAAGGCTTAGGATTTTGCCATTTTGAAAAAAAATTAAACGGAATCATATTTTAAGTGTTGTCCATAAACCATTGTTTATATCCTCTATTAGTGCTTAAGAATACTGTTCAAACAAGGCAATGTCTTGTTAGACAGGGAGCAAGTAAATGAGCAAGCCATGTGGCATGTTGTGTAAGAGTTTTCTTAGGAAATTTTCTGATTACAAATATGTGGTTTTGCTCAGATTTTCTCAGGGATCTTGCTGAGTGTGAGTCTGTGAGGTTGCAGGGATTGTTCTGGGGAAATGTGTTGCTCATGAATACATGGGGCTATTTGTTCAATCCTCTCCTCTGCTCCATTAGTCACATGAGTTTGGCTAAAGCCACTAATAGGCATGGCCTAATCCTCTTGGATTTGTCCATTAGGGCTTCATCAATATCCAGAACATTGAGAAATTGTGCTTTGGAATCAACTCTAAATTTATATTTCCAACTGGTACAGTAAATATTCTAACTATTAGAGATTTCTCTTCCACTACTACCAGTGTTTGAGTTAGGGTATAGCTTCACATTGCCCCAAAATAGTAAAGGCAGATGACTGCATATGAATACTTAGGAAGTATTGCCATTAAATTATTAGTGACTATAAGAAATTCTACTTTAAGGGGCAGGAGAGATGGCTCAGTGATTAAGAGCACTGGTTGTTCTTGTAGAAGCCCCGTGTTCAAATCACAGCACCCACATGGCAGCTAACAACTGTCCATAACTCTAGTTCCAGGGGATCTGATGGCTTCTTCTTTCCTCTGTGGGCATTGCACAACACGGGAGCGCCTACATACATGCAGGCAATACACTCATACACGTAAAATAAAAATAATAAAAT